AAAGCTATTAGGTCATTCATTCGTCTTAGCTGATCTGGAGTGGTCCACTAGATTATGAAGGGCCCATTTTGCTGGTTTAGCCCAATCATGAGTTTTTAAGAAATTGGCCCAAGGCAAGTACAGGCATTAAAAATCAGTAACTGTCATGACATTCATATAAAAAGGGCCCCATGTACTTCACATTATCAAAACTTAGAACGTAGTGGCGGAGTATATAGAATCCGCAATCCCTTCCTATATATTAATTGAGAACGTGCTGAGCCTATGTGGCAGGTTCGCATGTTTCGGGATTCTATGTGGCAAAAATACATGCTTCATTATTAGACTTGGGTAGATTTAGTTTACTTCTAATCCAAATATATTTAGGTTCGGATTATCTATAATATGTTGATTATTTATGGTAAGGGTGAGCGCCGGCTGGGACGGTCTTGGATTTGACTTGTCCGGATACCCATCCCACTTTTATGAATCCGTCCATGAACGAGGCACCGTCGCCACCCATGTAATACATGAGTGTTGTACTAGTGTTTGTTTAATCACAAAAATTAAAAGCTGAAGCAATGTATACATGAAAACGTTTTAGCGGGAGTCTCACTATCTCTTAGAGTTCTTACATTAATTGATCGATTTGCGCACAATGTATAACTTGGAATTACAATAATATGACTCCCTCATAATCAGATCAATAATATACCCGACTTTATCAATTACTTCCCTAACAGTAGACTTCAAATACTTAATCCCAAGCACTCAAAATATTTGTAATTAAAGAATGAAAACAATTCTTTAGCAATGTAAGTACACAAACACTGAATAATTGAAAATGGTGACTCATGCCCAATTTGGCAATTTGCAGTAGTCTATCTGACGAGACCTACTGGTGATGATTAAAGTTAATCTCTAGTTTAAAGGATTGGATAAATTTTTCCTACAAACCAGATGAATAAAGTTGTTTGGGCTCATTATGTCAGCCCGGTATTGACGTCGGGCCCGTGAGGTCCGCAACAGAACCGAGGTCGGAGAATTGATGTCGGATCCCCGCGAAGTGAAGTCGGTTTATCTTTGAGGTCAGGCTCGGCCCCAGCGTATTGGTCGGAAAAGGTGAAATCGACTTTCGATTTGTCGTTGAGGCTTGAACATTGAAGTTGTTCCGACTGTAACGTCGAGCTCGGAGATTGGGAAATCGGATAGAGAGAACGAGCTCGGTCAAGCCCGACTATGAAGAATTCGGCCCTGGTGACTATGAAGTCGGAGACCCGGCTGTAAAATCAGGCTATGTCTGGCGAGATTGGGCCGTGATTTCAAGGTCGGTGGCGAGTAAGGTGGGTCCCGACTTCCGTGGACCATGGATATCGTGGCTTGAAGTGATGAAGTCGGTTTCCGTCAAAACTCGAGACTCCGATAAGGACAAAGAGAAAGTGGGGCCCATAATAGTGAGCAGCAGCCTCAATGCTTTTTATCTTCTTTTCTTTTCTTTAAAAACACATTGTACATGAGCTAAAAAAGATCTCGGTTAAGAATACAAAAACCGACTCCTGTACTCGTGAATATCTCAATAAAATCCATGGTGACCACTATGTTGCACCCTACATGGATGGAGAGACAGTTTTTATACTGTAATTGTACTTCTAAGTCGGAAGCCAGAAAGTACAAACAGAAAAGAATAAAGGGTACAGTAAACAAAAGGAAGATCTTAACTTCTAAAATCAGAAATGCACCTGCAGGATGTACTATAAACATTAATTTTTAATGAAAAATGTTTAGCACAAAGCTGCTAATCACAGTACAAACACCAAAGAACCATCTCAAGATTCTCAACCTGATTCCATTTGCACCCCAATAAATATATCCTCAGTAAACAAACATTCAAAATCGAAAATTGAAACCCAAACCAAGAAAAGAACTAAGGTGAGATTTCCAACCTCGGCTCGAAGCAAAAACCCGTGAAAAGCTGCAACGGGAACCTCTTCGCCACCGGGCACTTCTGGGCCCACTTCCACTGCCTCAGCTTAAAATCGAAAATCAAGAGCGCAGGCGCACCGTAACTCTGTATGTAGACGATCCCACCCGTCCCACTACTCGCGAAAACATCGTCCAGCTCACCAAACCCCTGAAAATATCTATGCGGCATTCGGGCCACCTCTTCCCACTCCCTCCCTTTCAAGGCCCAAATCCCAATACCCTTTATAATATCGGGCCTGTCGTGCCTCCCGATTCCCCCAACCATCACAAGCCTCTCGTCTAAATTCATAAGCCTCCCGCACGTGAGCGCGCAAGGCACGGGCACAAAGCTCCGCATCAGAACCGGTCCCACTTCCCGGGCCCGCTTCTCTAAATCATACAAAACGAGCCCGTGACGCGATTCGGGCCCGGGCCCGAAACCTCCGGTCGAGTAGATCAAGAAACAAAGCGACCCACCGCATATCACGCTCTCGTCCCCGGCCCGCCAGCCTGTCAATGTCTCCTTATGGGCTGTGGCCCACGAGCCCGAGCCCGATTCGTACAAATGGATGGAGAGGTCCCATCTGTAGAAATCGCTCGGGACTTGCTTCGACATCACGACCGAGACCTCGTAGCCCTGGCCTGCCCGATCGGCCAAGATGGCCAGCGTGCTGTAATCAGGGGATTTCGGGCCGGGCCCAAATTGGAGGGCCTGGCAGAGGCCCGTTATCGGATTGCATACGTAAAGCCCAGCCCGAGTTTCGTTGTCCATGAAGCAGACGAGGCCGGACGAGGAGGAAACGAACCAGTTGGGGGACTCGATTCGCGGGAGGTCGAGCGCGTGCCATTTTTTGAGGGATGGGTCGAATGCAAAGCCCGTGGGCTCATCTGAGCTTGTGAACATGAAGTACCAGGGTTTTTGGGCCTGGGCCTGGGCCTGGGGATTGTTGTTGTTACAGAGGAAAGTTTTTGAGGTCACGAGCCCGTTCCACTTTTTGCAAACGGATCGGGCCCGAATAAGGCTGGCGACGGGTAGGTGGGATAATATGCGTTCCAAGAGGTCGTCCGGAAGGATTAAGTTCATTGAGATTGAGGAGAGTTCTTTATTGGTATTGTCAATGAGATCTGAGAATGGGCCGGGCTCTGCAGGCCCGTTTGTGATGGTGTTGACACATTGGCTTATCCATGAGGTTTGGTCATCCATGATGAATTATCTGGAGATAAAAAAGATCGAATATTACATGAGAAATTTGTGTAATTGGATCATTTTAGAATCAACAGTCATAATATAAATCTATAACTCATTTCAGGCTATGTAAACATAAAATGAAAGGTCAATGTTGGTTTCGTTCGAATGAGGCCAACAC